CTCCCCATGGGGCCACGACGCGCTGTACTGTGTGTGTGTATGTGTGTCAAAACCTGGCGCTGGCCTTGGTGCCGCGCAGAATCGCCTTGAGGGATTTGCACCACCTGCACAGGCTGAGGGCCGGTGGTGGTGGTATTCGGTGTGTGGGTCTCCCCTTCGCGCACATTCGTTTCACGAGCTGGCGTTAGTTACAAGGACAGGGGGACGGCTCACTTTTGAGATGGAGCTCTCGCCTCAGCACCGCGCACACTGATCGCGGAAGCCAACAACAATCGTGGGCTCGTGGGGGTGGGGGGCGCCTCCCTCTCAAACCGGGGCTCTTGGGCGAGACTCCCACTCGCCCGAAGACCGGGCAACCGAAAACTGTGTGGGAGCGCATCGTTTGCTTCCGACGGCTTCCGCCGGCCTTCTGCCAACTGCTGCCGGCGGAGCCGCCACCGATGTCCTTCCGCCAGTTGCCGCGACACTGCGCCGCGCCTTCCGCCGAGGAGGAGGCAGCCGCCGCTCCTTCGACTTCGAAGGCGAGGCCCTTTCTGGAGCGCCTCGTGCAGCGGCTGCACGGGTGGAAGTCGCTTCCTCTTCCACATGTACAATTTTCTGAATAAAACACTTGTAGAATTTCCCATAAAACCATGTGCGATTTTTATATGTTTTAAGAAATTGTACATGCCCTGGCTTGAGACTTTCTCGAAGATCATGGCCAGAAGCGCAGCCCTGTGCAGCAGTTGCACAGACTGGGGCGGTCCTCCTTCAAGAGGGGACCTCGCTGGACACTTCGCGCTCGCGTGCCCTGATATGCGCTGCAATGGCGCAAGACAGCTCCTCTCCACAACAGAGCCCTTGCCTGAATGTCAGGCCCATGGTTCTGGTCTTTCAAGGGGGCGCTCTTTGTAGTGAAACGAATCGCGTGTAGGGACTTATGAGGAGGGGACTTGGGACGGGAGGGTGCATTGCAGCATCGTTGGCACATCTGGGATTTACTCTGGTCCTCCTCCTCCCTTCTCCCTCGTTTCTCCTCCCTCCTCTCTTCTCTCTCCGCTTTCCTTCCTCCTCCCTTCCATCCGCCTACCTCCCTCCTCTCTTCTCCTTATCATTTCTCCTCCTTTCCTTTTCCTTGTAAATAACTTTCCCCTGTCGCACCCCGGGACCGGTCGAATGGGGGGGCCGGGCGTTTCGCCTGAGACTTCCTCGTCACTTATGACCCTGAAGATTAAACATGTGCAACAGCTTCGCAAATGGAGGGCGGGCGGTTTTCAAAATGTGGCTATCGCCTAAGCGCCGCGCGCATTCGTTTTTAAACATGCGCCAGGGCTTCACATATTGAGGCTGGGTAGTTTTCAAAATGTGGCTCTCGCCTGAACGCCGCGCATTTTTTTTTTTTTTTTTTTTTTTTTTTGTTTTTTTTTTGTTAGCATTGCCAAGGTTTCGCGGAGTGAAGGCGACCCGTTTTTAAACATGTAACTCTCTCCTTCGCAACGCGCACATTCGCTTTTGAAGACTTTCAAATGTTTCACGGATTTGGGGCAGATTGCGTTCAAACTGTGGCTCTTGTCTGAGCGCCGCGCACATTCGTTTTAGACATGTACAAGGGCTTCACGGATTCAGGGCGGTTCGTTTTCAAAGTGTGGCTCTCGCGTTAGCGCCGCGCCCATTCCTCTTTGAACATTGCAAGGGTTTCGCGGATTTCAAGAGTCGACGTACTAGAATTAATTTTGTCTCGAAAGATTCAGGGTTATGAGGGTGCAACAATTATGTTGGTTCGCGATGTTGAAGTCCCAGCAATGGCATTATGGCACGATTCAGGATCGGCAAGCCGCGACAGTCAGGTTGATCGTAGCGTTGGAATCCTGCGAATCATGTTTTGGCATGCTTCAAGGTCTTCAAACGGTTGTCTCCCAACGAGGCAGTACTCTCTATGGGAATTAACCCTTGTAAGGGCCCATGAAAAAGGGAGCCGAGAGGGACACTTTATGCCAGCATCGTTGATGACTCTTGGGCTTGCACTGGTCCTCCTTCTCCACCTCCTCCTCCTCCTCCTCCGTCGGGCAATCGTCTGCCGATCCGAGCGCCGTGAAAGACAGGTGCTGCCGCGACAAAACGCCGCGGACCGCAGCTCCCGCCTCCCTCTTCCTACAATAGGGGCCCGACCACAAGAAACCTTCCACAAGAGACCCAACCCTGAGACCCCAGGACGTGGACGTCCATTGATTTTGGGTGTGGGGACGTCACGCTTTCCACCACAAAACCAACGACGCCCAAGCCACCCAGGGCGTCCTGGAGGCAAGCAGGGTGTCTCGTGGCATGGGTCTCCACTGTGTGCCATCCTTTGCGCGGGGAGGCCACGACGAGGGGCCCCGGGCCTCGACGCAGCGCGGGGCAACAAGGAGCACACACGCGCGCGCGCGTCGCGCGCCTCCTTTGCCGCGCCCCTCTCCCCGCTCGGAGAAAGGGGGCGCGGCAGGCCTGCCGCCTCACGGGGATCCCCCAGAAAGGGGGCCCGGAAGGGGGTGTGCAGCGAGGGCGCAGGGGCCACGCTAGCGTTCTTCGAGCGAGGCTGGCCCGCGAAAGTCGCCCAGGATGGGCCGAAGGGGTGAGGGTGCAGGGGGTACCATCTGGAAGGCTGCCCAGCCTTGCCATCAGGTCGGGCGTGTCCCCCTACAGGCGGACTTTGGATGTAGATTTGAAGATGCAATACGACAAGATATTCAGAATCATCCCCAAACTGTTTTTGGACCATTTTTGAATGTTCCTCCTGTAGAGGGGCATGCCCGGCTGAACCTTGCCATGCGGGTCGACTGTGGAGGCCTCTCAGAGGTGGTCCGAATACTCAGCCGGGGCCGGAGGCTTGCACCGCATCGCCGGTGCACCGGCGACGTCGGCGACGTCGGCGCGGAGAACATCGGGCTTTACCTCGAGCCGCACCGCCGATGCATCGGCGATGCGGCGCGATCCTCCGACCTCATCCACTCCGACCCCCACCTGGGAGGCCCAGAAAAAAGGCCAGAAACCTGAGTGACGAAAAAACTGGTCTCACGCAAGAAGACGTAACGACCTCACGCCGTGTCTCACGCGGGCCGCCAACGCGGCACGCGATATTGGGAACGAGGACGCTTACGCGCCATCTTAAGCAAACAACTTGTGCTCGAATGTCGGCACTGTCGGACCTGCTTTTCTGCATCGCTCATGTGGAAAACCTCGAAGACTTCCTCCCCTGTCCCCGATCTCTGGACCAGCAGCAATACCAGCCGTGTTTTTTTCGCGGCGCCTACTGGCCTGGGCTCGGGGATCAACAAACCTACTCAGGAACTGTTCATGGGTGCGCTCCAGCATGAATTTCGGGGATGGACAGAAGCCCCTTTAGTAAAACGTGATGTCATGAAAACGATCTCGGGCCCAAATCTGGCGGGCGCAAGCCTAGAAAATGACAGCCGCGGCGCCCTCTCGAGAACCGAAAACGGACAATTCACTAATCGACGTGTCAGGGTGGGGGTCCTGTCCGCCCCAGAGAATTAAGAAGGGATCCATGAGGGTCAGTCTGGGAGGAGGGGCCGGCTCAGGGGGGAAACGTCGATCTTGAATCGGCGATACATCGCCAACATATTGGCGACATCACCCCGATGGCGACTGCATGTTCCTGGACGGGGTGGTCAATCGGGCCCCTATCGGCGATGAATGGGCGGGCGATTAGGGGTCGATGCGACGCCCCACCCTGAGCCTAACCCCCCCCAACTTGGGCACCTGAACTATCCGGGATAGACCTGGTCCCGGAAAAGCCCTGTTTGCTGTGCCCGAGTGTGATCTGGGAAAGCCCTGGAGCCGAATGATCCGGGAACACTTTTGTTTCAGGAAAGTACAAGGTAACACCTGCATGAGGCTGGATATAATCCGGGAACGCTCGAGTTGACTGCAATCTGGGGCATCTCCAGCACGAAGGCGGGAGATCCGAGTCAAGAATCCTCTCCGACCATCCCTGCCCCGAGACCTCGGTGCACTGAGATGTGTGTCCCGGCATGTGTTCAGATAGAGGCCTCTCAGATGAGGTCCGAGTGGATGGGGTCGGGGGATCGCGCCGCATCGCCGATGCATCGCCGATGCGTCGCCGCCGTCGGCGTGGAAAACATCGGGCTCCACATCGAGCCGCATCCTCGACACATCGGCGATGCGGCGCAACCCTGCGACCCCAATTACCCAAACTCCGACGCCAAAATTTGTTCATAACATCGACCACCAATGGTCTCGACCAATTCCCAGAACCGGTTTGTCATCCCGAGTCGTTTCTTGAAGGCCCCGGGGCCTGGCAAGGGCCCCCCCAAACCGAAAATTGGGAAACCTTCCATCGTGATTTTTCCATGACTCTAAGGGGGTCTGGGGACGACCCCATCCGTTGACTAGGGACCGACCGTCCCAGCATTCCTATAGGCCTACCACCGCATATTCTTAGAAAATAAAAATGTTCTAAGAACCCGAAATACGTTCTTAGAACAGAAGCCCGATGTGTTAAAACAACACAGTCTCAGCCAGAAGTGTTCCAAGAACATGCCGCGTAGACCACGAAAGCGTTCTTAGAACATCCTTCGGTGGGCCTCTGAGCAAGCCAAGACGCTTCGCCACTGCTCGGATCTGGGAGGCCCCGTTCAGAATGGCATCCAACCGCGCCCACGAGGCGCCTCCCATGGGGCTCCATCGACGAGAGTTAGGCCGTGCATGTCCCCATACAGGCGGACTTTGGAGGACAAATGAAAAAGAGCCACAAAAGATAACAAAAATGAACCAAAATAGTAAAACATCGTCCCAGGACTACTTTTGTGACTATTTTTGGATGCTCTTCCTGTAGAGAGGGACGCGCCCGACTTCGAGGCGAGGGCGCGACCACCGACCGCCGACCGCACGCGGGCCTGGCTGCCGACGTAGAGGTCACCGTACATGTCGATGGCCGGCGCCGACCACGACGACGGCTCACAGGCGGCCCGGCCGCCCATGGCCCTGCGGATGTCGGCGCCCTCCTCGCCGCTCCGCAGGGGCTTTCCAATGTTTTGGTTGTTGTTGCTGTTGCTGCTGTTGATGCTGTTGATGTTGTTGCTGTTGTTGTTGCTGTTGCTGCTGTTGATGCTGTTGATGTTGTTGCTGTTGTTGTTGCTGTTGCTGCTGCTGTTGTTGCTGTTGCTGTTGTTGTTGTTGCTGTTGTTGTTGTTGCTGCTGTTGTCGTCGTCGTCGTGATTGTTGCTGTTGTTGCTGCTGCTGCTGTTGTTGTTGTTGGTGTTGTTATTGTTATTGTTGTTGTTGTTGGTTTGCTGTTGTTGTTGTGTTTTTTTGATTGTTGCTGTTGTTGTTGTGGTTGTTGCTGGTGTTGTTGTTGATGCTGTTTATATTGTTTATGTGGTTGTAGTAATTGTGTGTTGGCTACTCATATCTAAAGAGTAATTCGTGTTGATCTCCAGAAACGGTTTCACGCGCTCTCGTATCGACGCCGGCTACATTTTCTCTGACAACGAAGCTCCCGCTCGAGCGTTGGCTTGAATGTAAAAGTGTGCCCTTGAAGGCCCGGCCACGACAACGGCTCCCGCTCGATACTTCCTCACAATTGACCCCGAGACACCCTGGCCAGAGATTTCCCCGATCTCAGGAACGGCGCTCTCGCTAGAGAATTCCTCGCAATTCAATCAAGTTGGCGGAGGCCCAGCCACGACGACAAGGGATCCTGCTCGATTTGTTTCACAATTTAATCCGAGAGCCCCTGGCCAGGAAGGCCCCCGAACTTAGGAACGGCGCTCTCGCTCGAGACTTCCTCATGATTCAATCAAATTGGTGGAGGCCCAACTACGAAGACAAGGGCTCTCGTTCGATATTACCTCATGATGTATTCGCAGAGGCCCTTGCCAGAGAGGCTCCCAAACTCAAGAGTGGCGCTCTCGCTCGAGATTGTTTCGTAACTCAAGCAAGTTGGTGGAGGCCCAGACACGGCGACAATAGTTCCCTTGCGATGTTTCTCAATATTCATTCCGAGAGCCCCTGGCCTGGCCGGAGGGGCCCCCGAACTCAGGAACGCCGCTCCGGCTCGAGTTCCCCGCACTTCAATCAGTTGCCGACAAGGAAGATTTTCCCCCCGAGAGGGGGTGCGATCGAAAACGAAACTGGCGGGTACCGAGGGTTGGGGTACGCAGAATGCAAAACACGCGTGCCAGTAAGAGCGAACAGTCTTAACATGATTGAACATTATTTCTTCTTAAGAATAATTATTGTTGGGGCCCCTGGTGCACGACCCCCCCGCCGCGCCTAGGCCGCAGCCTCATTTTCATCATTTTCGTGAGGAAGTCTCAGGCAAAACGGGGGAGTCCGGATCCGGTTGTGTTGTTACGATCGGTTTTCCCTTGCCAAAAATAAGCTAAAGTGGACATTTCTTGTTCTAACATAACCAAACTTCAAGAATCCCTTGCAAAAAATAAGGTAAAGTGGACATTCGCGCGCGCAAGACGAAATCCTTCCAAAACCTTAGTTTTCGTAGCGATTTTAACATAAAAACATCAAAAAACCAATGGTTTTTCAAAAAAAATGTCAAAATTTCATCCCGCGCGCTCTTGCGGATTCGTAGGAAACCCAACACTTTTTAAACATTTCTGTCAAACGGGCTTTTGCGAGCAACTTTTTCGAACTTCTGCAACAACGGTTGCGCACCTGCCAGGGCCATCATCCCTGTCAAATAATACCATGCGGGACACATTCGTTTTTTCTTCGCGCGCGCACGCCGTCGTCGTCGGCCGCGGGGCCCTGAATAGTAGCCACGGTCGTCCGCATGCCACGAAGTGAAGTGTCCGAACGTCATAGGGCGGGAAGCTGGGTGTGGGTGGTGGCGAAGAGTCGTTTGGAAATTTGGTAGAGCTTGAACCGGCCCCCCCACAAAGTGGGGGTATTGCCCGCCTCCTATGAAAACCCTGGCACTGGTGAGAACGGTGTGTCCCCACGTGCTAGTAATTGTTGTTGTTGTTGTTGTTGTTGTTGTTGTTGTTGTTGTGGTTGTTGTTGTTGTTGTTGATGATGATGTTGTTGTTGTTGTTGTTGGTGGGGAGAGGGGGGGAAAGGAAGGGAAGGGAAGGGAACACGCGAAGCACCAGCAAACGTCCACAGCCAACCAAGCGTCCACAGCCCCGCTCGTGCGGGCTTTCCCTCTTTCGGAGATTGCTAGAAATGTCCCTTGCCCAGGGTGCACCCAGGACTTCCCAGCAGGCCTTACGGCCTCCAGAGCACCCCTCGCGAGGCCCAGGGGCCCCAAGGGCTCCAAGATGGAGCGAACAGCTGGGGGCACCTCAGGTCAGGGGCACCTTTGGCAACCCCCCACTCTGAGACGAAGCCAGGACGAGGATAAAAACCAGGTGAGGATAAATCGGGAATCTCTGAGATCCCGCGGCTCTGGAGGACGCCTCGGGCGACGCGGCCTGCTCAGAGCGTCCCGGAACGCTCTGAGAGCGTCCTGGAACGCTCTGGAACGGATTTATCCTCGTCCTAGCCCCGTCCGACCCTCACCCGTCCTACGGCTTTTGCTGAGCGTGCCGCGGCGGAGGCCCCGGCGACACGCTGTGCCCTACAGGTGGATTGCGTGTGTCGCTCCGCTCCGCGGGGAGGGAGGCTCGGAAAGACTCGGGGCGTTGACGCTTGGGGACTGGGACGTGGATGTTGTTCGGCGACACGCAAGAGTGACCCTGGGTAATTAAGAGTGACCTTTGGTGCGCGACTCTTTTTGGGGGCCGCGGGGGGACCAAACCTGGGCGCACAAGCAGCTGCTAGTGCTTCGTTTTCAGCCACCTGGGGACCCATCTGTGCCCGCACCAAAGGTCACTCCAGCGAGAGGTCACTCTTACGTCTCATCGAACTGTGTCGCGCCGAGGCTTGTTGGGCCAGAGCCGGCGGCGCGACACGCCAAGCCAAAGTTCCTGCCCGTGGATTTCCCAGGACATCTTTCTGCTTTCCCTCCTCCCGAGCGTCGCCCCCCCCCCCCCTCGCGAGGGTCGTCCTGCAGAGGGCTCTCTTTCCCGGGCCCCATTGGCCATCGACAGATCGTCTCAGATGCAAGGCTGGCCCCGCTGAATGGATCGAGAGCTCCGCGGTCCGCTGAAATTGGCAAGAGCACGATGTCGGAGATCTAGGCCCTCCTACTGGCTGCTGCTGCTGCTGCTGCTGCTCCTCCTCCTCCTCCTCCTCCTCCTCCTCCTCCTCGTCCTCCTCCTCTCAGACGAAGCCATGCAGAGGACAAATTCGGGTGCGGATACACCGAGAATCTCTGAGATCCGGCGCCTTGAACGGATTTCTCCTCGTCGCAGCCCCGCCCGATCCTCCCCATATCCAGTCTTCTTCCTCATGAGTAGCTCCTTCTCGTCGTACCTCCATACGCGTCGTTTTTTGGGGCGGGGCTTTTCGCCCAATCCCTCCTCACAACTCATGACCCTAACTCTAGGATTTCCCAGCTCTTGGTCGGATGTCGGGGGGTGACGCCGAATTTAAACGTGAGGTGCCCCAACTGGGATTTTGTTTCGCTTCGTTCGTGTCGCGCGTGCGGGCGAGGCGAAGCTGCGGAAGTCCCACCAGCCCTCTGGGCGTAGGTGATTTAATTATTGTTGTCTTCTCTCTGCCAAGACTCCTCCTTCCCCTGCTCGGGGGAATGTTTTATCACTGCTCCTTCCGACTGTGGGCCAATCCGAAATACCGCCGCCAAGGCTGCGACCAGGTACTCCCCGGGGTGGATAGTGGTCTCGTAGTCCTTCAGGCCGTCCTGTTGTTCCTCACTGCGACGGTTGGCGTCGGGAGCGTCCCTGTACATGGCTCTGGCAATGTCTCGCAGCCAGTCTTCCGTCAGAGCAGGTGGCGCTGCTCGAGTGTTCGCAGGGAGCGATGCTCCTTTTGGACTGGAGGGCAGGGGCCAAAGTCTCGTGAGGATTTGCACTCCTGCAGATCCAACCGTGGCCGAGTAGAGTCTGAGGGTGCTGTGGCAGGGGAGCCAGTAGTCGGCCCTCATGGCTCGAATCTGCGTACTGGCGATCTGCACGCCGTGGCGGTCTCTCGCCGTGCGCGCCTGGGTGCATGCCTGATCGCGTCGCGCGCCAGGGCGTCCAGTTGCTCCTGGTGCTCTCTCGGGGTCCCCGCGCTGCGGTGGCTGGGATCCCCGGAGGGGGTTGCTGGGAAGATCCTGACGGTCTGTGCCCCGAACATCACTCGGCTGGTTCCCACGAAGGCGGCTGCCATCGTATCCGCCGCTGCCAGACGTATTCTGACCTGAGTCATGTGTCTGTCGTCTGACACGTCTGGAAACCAAGCGTACACTGTCGACGCCTGCTCCACGGTGCCGGGGCCCGTGGTGACCTCGATGGCTTCGAGCACGTCATCCGGACGGGTCTGTCCCATGTCAGCAAAGTTCCATCTTAGGTGAAATCCGTCCTCCGGGTCTGCCAGGCGGACGAAGGAAGGCCCTCCGTCCCAGTTGCCTTCTAGGAGTACTCTTCGGGGAGCAAGGGCTTGGTTCGGGTTGTCGTGTCCCAGGACGCGCGGCAACTCGTCGCGCAAGTGTCGTAACGCTGGGGCTGCTGCCTGCTCGGGCATCCTGAGCAGGAGGAGTCCGGTGCCACAAATCCCGACTCGGTGCCCGAAGGCACTCGCTTCCGCAGAGGCGATAACGTACGCCGAGAGTATTGCCTTGCTTGGGACGGGAATGTGCACGGAGCCACTGGTTTCATGCATCCTCCAGGTGCATGCAGTGGCGTGGTGCATCGTGGTTGCTTGGGCGGCGGCCTGCAGGTTGTCGAGCAGTACCCCAAGCCCTTCGGTCCTGGTCGATGGGCGCGCTGGTCTGCAGCGGAGCACGTGGTGAAGAAAGAGCTGTTCAAGGCCTTGATTGATCAGAAGTTCGTCTTTCGGGAGTTGGATCTTGGTGGTGGTCCAGTCGGCCAGGATGTTGGAGTTTTCCAGGTTCGCAAATTCATCCCGCCATCGGGTGATCTGGGCAACCGCGCTGTCG